AATGACCGTATTTAAGAGTATCCTTTATTCAAATGACCCTCGCAGACCAAATTACATACATTTATTGTATTTTATGAGGCCCATCTCCCATATAGTTTTCCACGTATATATCTTGTCATTACTTTGAAATTGTTTTGGAAACCAATTTTTTCCATTTCTACCCTAGCATGAAGAAGATATAAAAAGTAGATCCTGTCTAACCGTTAAAATATCAATGTACAGAATAATCTAAGTCGTGGCCCACTTTTTCTTCGCTTCGCAAAAAAAACTGAAAATTTACTTTCTCCGCGTCCAACTTTCCAACTAAAATTAAACTGAGTTCATGCACATACTTGTTGCCATGCCGTGATCATACTATGTGATCTTAACGACAATAACCTGGCTTAACGGGGACTTTGAGATTCGACTAGAGCGCCGCAAAGAAAGAGCATAACAAAATATTCGGATTATCCATCTAGTTATAGAAATCGTGCTTGGACAGTCCTTAGAATTTCATTGAAACCATTCAGATCAATGTCGCAGCGCAGTTGAAAAGAGAGATCGCGTTGGGTTTTAAAATGCTAGGTGTGATTTTGTGGAGGGAGCAAAAAAATTCAAATGTAACACCTTCTTCATTGGGGAGGGGAAGGTGTGTTGTGCAGGCGTACACTTGGCTTGAGGGTTCAAATATTTGTTGCTCATAAAAACATGTTTTTATTACCACAAAAGCAAAACAAATTACACCATTGGTACCTATTTCACTTGCTCTCTCAGAATATAGTAGTTCTTACCTAAAAATCCAAAATTGTGGAAAATCAGAACCTGGATTAACCCCTTGGATCGGACTTTTCTTAGGTGGAGCGTCGGAATCGAGAATTTTTTTCCTTTGGTATTTCAAGTTAAATTCATTGTAGAATGTCTAACGTACCTCGAACAATTGCTTTGACGCAGTAGTTGTTAGAAATTAATAAAAAAATATGGCTTTAATGTGAAAGAAAAGGTTAAAAAAGTTTGTGAAAATCTGTGTTTTTGTTACAGATAATTAACCATCTCGTTTCATCTTTATCCAACAGGGAATGAATAAAGACGTTCAAAGATGCCTTACTTGTGTTATGGCAGATAACAAGTTAAGAACAGAAAATAGAGCGGCGTACAGTACCATCATACCGCTAAGGGTAAAAAGAAAGTTGTTATTCCAAAGGGATGGATATTCCGTACAGTATCCCTGTATCAGTACTATTCAAGTGAAAACAGAAAAGGTGAGTTGTGATATTTATTTATTTATATTTATTGTGTTCAAAATTATATGAGTATGTATTTGCTTATTATTGACTATTCAAAAGATTGGACTGACTGTGGTTTGGCAAAGGCTGAAGAAACAACAGGGAGCCCAACCTCTTTACTACACTTGTTCCTAGTCAACTTAGAAACCCGATTGTGATTTAACGTCTAGTTTCTTTGGAATGACCTCTTTACATTTTCTTCATAAAGAACGAAATCCTTTATTTGAATGATCGATTTGTCGGTTTGTTCTTCAAAGCGAGACAATCTGTAAAATCGTACCGTCTAGAGGGACCGACGGTGGTACATTTCACAATTTTCAGATTGTTAGAGAGACTTAATTTAATGCTTATTAAATATAAATAAAGTGTGATTTCCTTTATTTTGAAACGTTTTAAAACAAATTTGTTGGCTTGCCCTTCTAAGCGGTACAGTTTGCAAAAGTCTATAGCTAGATGGTATTAACMTATGTTGTCATATCAGTTAATTAGCCTCGAAACGGTTTTTCTTTGCGCGCGCTCGCTCTTGGCCCGATCACGTAGAACTTGCAAAAGGAAAATTTTTGTAGTCATTAATTTTAATGTTCAAACTGAAAAAAATCAAAAATTCTGGTGTGAAATTTTTTCAAACTTTGTATATGGCTGTAGTTTAGGTTTTGAAAACAAGACAGAGAGTGAGTGCGTGTCTTTCCTTTAAATGGTTTTAAGGGTATCCTTGACCATATTTAAGGGTATCCTTGACCATATTTAAGTGTATCCTTTTTTCAAATGACCATATTTAAGGGTATCTTTTTTTCAAATGACCATATTGAAGGGTATCTTTGAACATATTGAAGGGTATCTTTGATTATATCTAAGGGTATTCCTTTTTCAAATGACCATATTCAAGGGTATCCTTTTTTCAAATGACCATATTTAAGGGTATCCATTTTTCAAGAATAACACCAAGCAAATTCATTTGTCAAAGTCATTTTGTGGTTACACACCTATTTTTTGAAAAAGTGGATATACTTTTAAGCTTTTATCATCGATTTCACTTCAGGCATGAATGTCTATTATCGGGATAAAATGTCTCCAACTTCGACTTAAACTTGTTGTTCGTTGCTTCGTCCATGATGAGAGTTGGCGGTTAAAAATCCACCCTCATTAGCTTAGGGTTCGTGTATGATTATTTCGTGATACAACAGACTGGAAGGATAAAGAATAACAGGGCTTAGCTTGTGATAGAATGGTGTGTTTTGAGGAAAAGACTATATCACGGGCGTAGAGTGCGTTTCACGGCCCCCTCACAGCCCAATTTACATACATTTACTGTATTTTACATGTATCACTCTCCGCCCGGGATGTAGTCCTCATCCGTATCATGAATCTTTCACTATGAAAAACTACTTAAAGCCACTTTTTTAATTCCCAAAACTCAAAGCATATGAAGAGATCATAACAAAGGGTACATTCTGTGTGACTGTGAAAAACTCAAGGTATAGACTAATTATCCAGTCTTTATAGTAGTAGTTATAAACTTGTTCTGCATTCACCGAGTCAGTTCTCATACTCACTACCAATGCAAATATTAATTACATCGACAGAAGGCGTCCCTTTACAAATATCACAACACTCAAAAGGACACCAGAGTAAGCCTATTTTAGAAAATCTTATTACATTCTATTTTCATAGGATTTATTTCGATAGTCTGCTTTAGAATTAATTCTCTGCAAATAGCAGCGTCCCTCTGAAGCGTGCGAAGGAGTGTCGAGTACTGAGCTAGTTTTACAATGATCACAACACTCAAAAGGACACCAATTATTAAGCTTATAATACACTCAACAAAATTACTCGACTCTGATTGGTCGAGAGGAGTACAATTATAGCGTTAATTGTACTCCGTAGGAGTACCGAATTAAGTCGCTATGGCAACACGGCCAAGACAATTATTTTCTATCATTTTGTACTTTAAAAAAAACAAATAAAATTATAAAGCCGTAAGAACTAATCTTTTTTATGCATTTCAGTTGTGCGATGTACTGAAAATCGGCCACCAAATAGACAAAGATGAACGGCGTCGCTTCGCATTCTTTACTGAAATTTTGTTGAGTGAACTATAAACAAAAAATCGCACGATCTTCTCGTACAATTTGGAATTAATAGACACTCGTAATGTTTTGAAAGTTCTTTAATTGCACTTGCCTAAAGGCTCGTGTAATTACAAGAACTTTCAAAACATTACTCGTGTCTATTAATTTCCAAATTGTACTCGAGATCGTGCGATTTCCTATACTTATTTTGGAAATAAAGTGGAGGAGTTCGAGGTAGTAAGAAGATCACAGCACTCAAAAGGACACCTAAGTAAGCTTATTTTAGAAATTACATTGTCAGGAGAAGGTGTCCCTCTGAAGAGTGTGAAGGAGTATAGTATTATTTTAAAAATTCAGCCAAACTCATATAATTAAGTATTGTAATAATGATAGGATAGTTTGGTCCGTGTTATTGCATGTATTGGGCTTGATTTAAAAAAATTAATATAACACTGGTCATGTAATGTTTTCAATATGCATTTCAGTTTTGGTAGATCTGAGGATCGTATAAAAAAGGTCACAACGTAATAATAATAATAATAATTTAATCACTTATTGTGCGCGCATTCCATACAATGATCATGCGCGCATTACAATAATAATATAATATGTATATATAACTATATAACTATTTACAAATAAGATGAATAAATATATTGATGAATACTAAAAAAACTATCAAAATGCTAATTTAAAAAGGTGGGTCTTAAGATGGCGCTTAAACAAACTAACATCTTTAATGGCGCGAAGGTCTGCGGGAAGTGCGTTCACGTATTCCTATTACTACACCGCAAGTGTTGTTAGCAGTGCAATAGCAGTGCATGTTCTTTCTATCTGCCTAGTTATCGTTAGGTTTTTGCTTCCAAAAATCCAATTGTAGAACCAAACCCTGTGGGTAAGGGGTAGGTGTGAGTAATGGCGTACAAGGGGCTTGCGGGGTCAATATTTGTTGCTCGTGAAACCATTACTTTTTTTACGAAAAAAGCAAAACCAATTGCACCATTGATAACCATTTCTTTTGCCCTGTTAGAATTTGGTAGTTTTTGCCTTAAAATCCAAAATTGTGGAAAATTTAGAACTGGATTTACTCCTTGGATTGGACTTTTCTTGGGTGGATTATCGGAATCGAATAAGTTTTTTCTTTGGTATTTCAATTTAAAATCAAAGTTAAAAGTCTGACATTGCTCAAAGAATTGCTTTGATGTAGTTATTTTTAGAAATTAATGAAAAATATGGCTTTTATGAGAAGGAAAAGTTAAGGGTAGTCAGCGAGAGTCTATGAATATATTCCACTTGTTTTACCATTTCTTTTCATCTTTATTCAGCAGGAAATCAAAAGAAAAGTTCGAAAATCTCTCACTTGTGTGGCCGTGCCAGATTACATGCTAAAACAGAAAGAGAGCGGTTGTACAATTAACATAGATAGATACCACGCGCACTTGAGGGTAAAAAGGAAGTCTTCATTTCAAAGGGATGGTATCCCTGCATCAATGCTATTCAAGTGAAAACAAAAAAGGCGAGTAGTGATTTTATGTGTGTTCAAATATATATATATATATATATATATATATATATTATCATGTGAGTTTACACATTATTTAATTTAGGCATGGTCTACGAGCCCAACCCCTTTTCTATAATTGTTCTGATTCAACTCAGATAGTAGGTTTTGACTATTAGAGACTATTTGATTATTAGAGAACGCCTTTTGACTGGTCTTTTCACTCTTTTTATTAACTTAGCGTTTTGATTGCAAGAAGTTAACATCCTATAAAATAATTTTTGAAGCTCCAAATCAAATCCTAAAACATACTCATTTAATGGTTTGTTCACTTTTATTTAGAGCATATGAAGGAAGCATAAAATATATTGAAAGCTTTAATTTTTTTCCTTTTTCGTAACATCAAAAGTTGCTTGATTTGTTCAACGAAACCAAAAGCAAAAATAAATAAATAAATAAGATTATTAGATAAAAAGTATAACTTATGAACGAATATGTTTTAAAAGTTGATTCGAAGCTTCAAAGGTCCTTTCACGGGATGTGAACTCACATAGTTAATCGGGAGCTTTATTAACTATGGAATTAAGCATGAGACCATATGACCTTTTTAATAAACGAAAACTGATAGGTTTTGTCAACATAAAACAGAAACTTAATAGATAATATGAATCATTATAGACGTATATGGAGTTGATTAGGAATTTCAAAGGTCCTTTCACTGGATGTGAAGTCAGCATGAGACCATATGAGGAAGCGACTTTTTCACACCTATTGAAAGGACCTTTTTAAAATTCGACAACGTATATATTTTAGTCAACGCGAAACAAAAACTACATAGATAATATGAATCTTATTAGACGAATATGGTTCAAAGGTCCTTTCACTGTATGTGAACTAATCTTAAGACCATGACTGGGAGCGTCTATTTTCACATCCATTGAAAGGATCTTTTTCAAATTCGACAACGTATATATTTTGGTCAACGCAAAACAAAAACTACATAGATAATATGAATCATAATAGACGTATATGGTTTAAGAGTTGATTATGAAGCTCAAAATGTGAACTAATCATGAGACCATATGAGTAAGCGACTTTTTCACATCCATTGAAAGGACCTTTTTAATGATTGAAAACTGATGTTTTCAACACCAACAACTACTACAACAGTGAAAAAGTCGTTCCCTCATGATTACCTGGCTAAATTATATTACCATACGTTTGTCCAATCCATTTGAGATACGTTAACGTTATATTATTCCTATACGCTCATCCAAAAGCAGTACATTTTCTTTCAATCCAAATAGTTAACGCCAAAGTTTTCGCTGCCAGCAAAAAATCCTTGGTACCGGCTGCCGGTCGTTTAGACATTAACATGAACATGAACATACTAATAAAGTGGCCGGAAGTTTCATTCTTTCAAAAAAATTCAACTTCCCAATCCATGCATTAAAGCCCCGTCCACACGCTATCCGAAAATTTTCGTATGCGCAAATTTTTTTTGCGGATACGGGTTGCGTCCACACGTGTCCGGAAATTTTTGTGACCGTATCCGCAAATTCTACGAAATAGAATACGTGTGGACGGTGAAAACGATTCGAATACGCTGCGTGTGGACGCAAACATTTTCGTATCTGCAAAAAATAATTTGCGGATACAAAAATTTTCGGGTACGTGTGGACGGGGCCCTCAGACGAACCAAAATATCTTATCATTATTAAGAATTTATTACATTAGTTTGGGCTGGATTTTTAAAAATAATTTGAACTGATGGCCATCTAGTATTTTGAAATGTTTGATTGGCGGTCATCCTGAGACAGTCCTATAGTCCTAAAACTATATGTTAAATTTATTGAGAAAAAAAAAAAACCAAGCCCAAACCATGCAATAACACCAACTATCCCAGCCTATCACTTTTACAGTGCGAATCGAAAAACCGTATCCACCTAGAAATATTCCAGGAACGTTCTTTTTTTTTTTTTTGGCCAATCAGAATTGACTTTCTAACCACAAGATAATGTAGAGATAACAATAACGCTTATAATTGTCTATTAAACATTCCTGAATATTCCTAACTATCTACCAGTTGATCTCATGCTCACTCACTGGTATAAATTAATTGTCCAACGCTCATGAATCAGGCTTTCCTCAAATACTGGAAGATTGACTATTTGACGAACTTTAAGTATATGCTTACACGGTAAACACATTCGAGTAAAGAAAATGCAATCGCACTGTCTACTTGTCACTTTGTGTAGGTTCTTGTCGCTGTTGCTTGAACCAGAGAGACTAAATTCGCCATCACTATCTTGCGATATTACGTTGACCTCACCAATTTGGTTATATTGTTCATGCACGAACTTGAATGCATAAGAAGTAAGTTTCTCTGAGTACAGTTGTAGATCTTTATCCAAAGGGTTTGTTTGCTTCCTTGCGACCGCCATGACGTAGTAATGACATCGTTCGTCTCTTAAGCATTTCATCACTGTTAGAAATTGAACACAGAACTGCATCAAGCTGGCGCGTTTGGAAAAAACAGTTTTCATCTTATTGAAAGTGGATTCCAAGCGATTGTTACTTTCGCCCACATTGAACTGCTGTACTTTAAAACAATTTACCCATTGTTCTTTTATTGGGTACCAGTTCTCTTCAACATGAGCAACAACACCTCTGATGTCAGTATCCTTTAGTGCTTTCACATTTTTTTCGTATTCGGCTGTAGTCTTTGACTTGGCAATCGACGACAAAATTGCCAGTACACTTTGTCTTTGAGCTGGCGACATTCCCATTGTTTCACATTGCAGTTCGCTCCTGAATGACAATAAGGCGTGATAGTTACATAGATTCAAGGTTGCAGTGGGAAAACATGCTGTAAATGCGTCGCGCTTGATGAAATCTTTGTCAGTCATTATAACAGCTGTTTTTCCCCAGGCAGGATTGTTTACTTTGAATTCTTCAAGAGCTTGGACAAGAATGTTCTTTGTCTCTTCTGCTAATATTAACATGGCAACAATTCCACTCAGACCACCACCATCTATGCACGTGAGTATATATACAGGCATGTCAATTTCCAACAGGTTGTACTTGGCATCGACAACGATAATTTCAGGACACTGAGCATATGTATTTTTCATGTATTCATCTTGAAAAATCAAACCTTTAAAATTGTTTTCTTCGTCAACAATAACATCAGTGTGGGAACCTGGATGAACTTTCAAATATGCAGTTACATCTTCTATATCGTTTTTCTTCATAGCTTTCTTCGAGTGTTGTTCTACGTTAGCAATATCTTTGAGTGTTACCTTTTTACCAGTGTTTCTTTCTGTTTGATCTTTTAGAAGCTTCAGATTGGCTCGAAGACTTATTGCCTCCTCCATGTCTTTAGTCACGTTTGCATCTCGTGTAGCGCGTTGACGAGGAAGGCGCTCGTATATTTCTTTTTTCAGAACGTGGTTGTGCTCTTTGGAAACCCGTTGTACTCTTAGACATTCCCCATTTTCTGACAAGTTTATGGAAACTTCAAAGGGACACCCTTGTCTAAATGATCTTGTTTTTCGCTTTCTTTCCTCTCTGGAATCGACCGGTCTCCCACCAAATTTGCACGACAGCTTTAGCGAATAATACAATAGATCTTTATTTGCATTGGCTACCCTCTTTGGCGCACGCTTTGCTGCCGACTCTAGCGTCCTTGAATCACGTTTCCATAATTCACAGAAATGACTTTCTTCATAAATCCTCTTTGCCTTTTCAAGTTCTTTCAAACTACTAAAAGTTTGACCCACAAATAAATTCCCACTTTCCTTTCCATCGCTCTTGTCTTCAGTTTCCATTCTGTCTGGAACTGTGCTGGTCTCTGTATCAGTATATGTTCTTTCATCGTCAACATAGCTACTAGACAAACTACCTCGAGTACCTCGCGGGTTCTTTCCTTTTCCCTTGGTTTTTGTCGCTGTCTTTCCCTCTGACTCCTCTTCTACATACTTGGATTTTTCTTTGGCTTCTCGTGCCAGCTTGACTCCAGCATTGGTATTATCTTTGGTCTTTGACCACTTTATGTTCTCGCCATAGTTTTGTTCTCCCCTCCTAGCTTTGCGCTTGCTTCCAACTTCGTGCCACTCTGTCTCTTCCCTTTCCTCATTGCTGTTATCTTTAGGGGATTCCTCCGCAGCCTTTTCGTGTTCTTCCTCCATTTCCTCGAAAGTGTTATCGTCTGACATTATCAAAACTTCAGGCTCTAGAATACGAGAAGGTGCACTCAGGACAGGTGAGGGGGTTGTTATTTTCTCTTCATTTATTCCAAAGGATGCCAAAGAGATAGAATCAGTGAGAAGCCACGAGATGACGGTGAGTCGCAAGAAGTCGGAGTACCTCGATGGCCACTTCAACCATTTCAAATTTAAAGGTAGATCTCCATTTGGGTTGAGGAAAACATCTCTCCACAGCATCGGAGCAGTGCAAGCGATTCCTCCCATTATTGCCACTGCTACTCCACATACATTAGAGCATGTCTGCACCGGCATGTTTTTTAGGCATTTCTCGGAACAGCAGTGACTCGTGATCAGTCCCTCTTCTGGTACATGTGCAGGGATCAATTCTTCAAAGGTTTTAGTTGGGGTTTCCACTTGTTCATAAATGGCTGCTATGATTGGCTTTAGAGTCTCTCTTAGATTAGTAGGCATGACCCAGGAGTTTGTATCACAATACAACCATTTATTCACAGTAAGATCCGTGTAGATTAATATCCAGTGATTTCCTGGTTTTGCTGGCGTGCTGATAAAAACCTCACCGAAGCCTGTTTTCCCGACGTTAGCAAAGAAAACAACATACTTGACGGAGGGACAGATGTAGCTTTTTATGTAGCTTGACATGCTTTCTTCATCCATTAAGAGAATGTCATT